GTTCCTTAGAATAATTTCGTGATAAAATTTATTACCAATTTCGTTGCATTTACGGCCCATTTCCTTCATTTATCTGACGGGAGATATTCATTCGTTTTTAATTTCCAAATCATTATCGAGTATTTGCATAATATTCAACACGAATAGGCCGCAGTGTCAACCAATGGCCGATAAAAAACGTTGACGCAGACATTAGTAACATATTCTCCACTTGCACTTATCCTTTTTCTTGTCACAGGGAATACCCAAAATGTTATCGAAATGACTGTAATGCCCGAAAATGGGCAGTTATGCACATGATGTTATCACAAAATGTATCAATTTTTACGCCTTACGTGCACCTTTCATGATAAAAAAACAATTCAGAATTATTTTGTGAATCGATATAGACAGAACTTTTCCTGTACAACATCTGTCTAATATCTATTTATATATTTTGTTATTCAAGCTACAAATTAGGACACATTTGGCTACAATAATTTCACGCTGTTGAAAATAAATTCTTTTTTTACACGAAATGCAGAAATAAAGTCTTGGCCTGCTTGATAAACATTAAAGTTTTGGATGAGTTGAGACAATATTTCGAGTTTTTTATCATAGACACACACTTAACAAAGTTTTGTACGACAACAAGGCGTGATTTTTAGTATTTTACAATGAAAATTCGTCTAGAATGGTGGTTGAACGTATAGATCTACTGTGCTCAACTTGGGCCATATGAGATGTACTTTTATACAATACGGTCGAGAATGGCACTTCAATAAGTTGTGTTAGATGAAGTGATGTTTAAACTTCAAGCAAATTACAAAAGTATATAAAGTGACTTTCTACAACCTTTGACTCTATGATTACACTGAAGACTTTAATAAGTTGAAACAGACACAGGACATAACGCAATGTTGGCCCATAATCCCAAGGAAAACTAATAACAACTGAACGCTTACGTGCTTATGTACTCTCTGAGTTATGAAAATAATGTCTACGTCAAGCTTTAGCAACTATACACACGATGTTATCGTGATAGGGGCCGATATTTCAGTGGATGTAAAAAGCGTGTTCTTATAGGACGACGTCGTAAATGAAAGTCGAGCAGTGTCTGCAGGCAAGACGTGGTATTTATTCTCTGAACAAGTGTAAATATATTTATGCCTTTGAATAAAAAAAATTCGTATACAACAGTTTTTGAAGACTTAAAATTATTTTAAAAATTTTTGGAATTTTTATGTAATTAAATATGTAGAATTATTTAAAACATAAAAATAATATATATACAAATAAGTGTAACACTTTTTTCACCGATTTCAAGAACAACGCTTAGATTATGTAAAACATACGCAAAGAATTTTTTGTTTAAAATTTCACGAATTTCAGAACACTTTCCAATATTTTTTTGCTAAAAATTTCAAACCAAAAAAAAAAAACAAAGCTAAAGCTGGAATGTCTATCAAATAGACGAAGAAAATTTGCTTTTGAGAAACTAGAAAGCGAACAGCTATCTATCTAAGCAAATTACAATTAAATTGAAATAATATAAATACAGACGACACAAAGATTATACGTTCCTATAAATGAATAAAAAATATTCATATGTATATGTATGTATACATATATACGTATATATATATATGTATATATATGTATGTATTATAGGATATATAATATGCAAATAATATGTAATTTTAGCAAATACTTTGAAACAATTAACTCTTAAAACATACTTTAATGGCAAAAAAAATCCTATAGTTTTAAGTAAAAAATAATAAGAAGAAAAAAAGTATATATACATATATTAAAACAGTATTAAAAAACAAAAAAAAGATTGATTAACAAATTTGTAGATATATCTCTAAAAACCAAACACACACACACACACACACACGCACACGCACACATACACATACATACACACACACATACACACATAGGCACACATACATACAAACATATATACTCATATAACAAAAAAAAATTTAGTAAAGTTGAAAAAATATGCGCAAAACCAATTTTTGGAAAATTAGTTAATTCGAAATTGCTTTTTATAATAAGAAACAAAAAAAAACAAAAAAGAAATTTAATAAACTTAAAAAATGTCGACAGTGAACGGCTATTATGTATGCATATATCCTCACACGGAATATTTAACCATCCCAAAGAAGAATTCAGAAGAATTTTGAATCGATCTCAACTAGCAAAAATATCATCCGAGGTACGCTTGAGGTAGACTTTCTCGTCGGGGTAGACCTTCTCTCGTCATCCAATATGCCTTGTTATTAATTTAATTCATTATGTTATTATTAGTTAATGCAATGATTTCTTACACATTTCCTACCTTGTAAATTCGTCGATGGTGCTTATCATATGAACGTGATAGACCTGAATAAAATGAATTTGCTTAGGCAAGTTGTCCATAACACTTGTATGTACCTATTGAAGACTATCGTTTATAAACCAGTTGCATACATATTCAGTAATTAGTTGTCTTAAGTTGCTGCTTAGTACCTTTTGCTAACTTTTACATGATAAATAGAGATTTCCAGAAAAGAAAAAAAGCATACTAAGAAGCACAATAGATTATATTATAATGTGTAAAAATAGAACTCCTCCCGCAATGAAGCTTTCAGGTGCCGGATGGGCACAATTTATACTATTAATCGCGCACGCAATTCGTCCTGCTGTGATTAATAAGTAGTTTTTGTTCATTTCGCGATATAAAAAGACTTCCATCTGCAATAAACGACAAGAGAATTATAAACCGAATCTCGAATACTTTCTCTTTGCTCCTTCCTTCTCCTCCTATCGCCTTACCTTGTTTTCGAACAAGAATGCCAATTAAATGCAGTGACAAAATTTAGTTCCTTCCCGAGTACAACAAAAGTCGAATTTAGAAACTATTTTTCTAAAAAAAATTCCTATGCCTACATTTCCGTCTTTTCGCCTTCCATTGAACTTAAGAATTCGGATGATGTCGTAGAGTTTTTGTTTAATTTAAATGTTTTAAGACGAATTTTTTTTTTTTTTATTCACATCTTCATTGGGATCGGAGTAGCAGCAAAGCCCACTAATACAAAGTAGAAACAATAGACTTTTGAATAGGGATTAGACTGAAATGAGAAATTTTAAGGGGCCTATAGGCGTTGATATGTTGTTACCGCGTCCGGCTTTTGTTTGGTATTAGATTAGTGAGCATTTCAACATTTTATTTCATGCTTACAATATTCAAAAAGCTGATACAGCAACTGTGTTTACTCTAACTGATATTGCGTTCACAGTAAAAGCTTAAAATTGCTTCCTTATGGAAAACTGAATATCAAAATTTGTGTATGCATGCATCCAAAATTCAAAAAATGATCGATTGTCGATCAAAAGGTCCAATTATTCAATATTTACATACTTCCTGCTCAAAGCTGCTGAAATCAAAGACTCGTTCTATCTACATTCGTTTCATAGAGCGCTTAGTATAGATTCATTATAAAATGTCAAGTCCTGGCCTTCGATCTCTAGATTGTTTTGTACTCTTCTTCGGTGCTGTTGTCTTGTCTTGTAAATATTTTGAAGCCTTCCTATGTTCGGCTAACACATTTCGTGGATTCATGCAGAGAATTGAACTTGAGGTTCCGCATTTACGCTATCGATGTAGAGCTAATTAAAAAATTAAATGAACAAGCTAACAAGCTGAAGAGTCGATTAATGGGTCTTCTAGGTCTTCTTGGTGAGGATATAATTTTAAAAAAAAATAAAATAAAATTAAAACTAATAATAATAACACTCGTATATATAAATCATATTAATATATATACTGAAACAAAATAGAATGTGCCTGCGTAATATATTTTTAGTGTTTATAAAATAAATAAAAACCCAGTTTGTAGCTTA